CGTGCCAATGGCCGGATCCTGCCAGGAGAGCCGTCGGCACGCGTGGGCGCGAGGCTGCCCTACCTCCGGGTGCGTCCCCCCACCCTCACCCACGTTGGGGGGCTCAGGGGTGCCCGGGGCGGTGCCGAGGCTCCCCGCTGGGGCGGGGGGAAATGGAAACCAGTTTCTTCCAATCTCTTATCGCCCGGCAGCCATGTGAGGAAATGAGTTATAAAGTCCAGAGGCCGCTTCCTACTGCGCCGGGAGCACCCGCCACCGCTGCCGGGGATGTGCTGCCCAGCCCTGCGTGGTGGGGTGCACGTGGGGTGCCCCGGTCCCTCTGCCCGGGCTCCCCTTGGCCAAATCCTGCTCCGATGGCCCCGGGTGAGAATGCCGGCCGGCCCCAGCCCTCCCCTCACCAGCGTGGGGCTGAGTGTTGGGGGTCTCGGCGTCAGCCCGTACCCTGGTGCGGGGCTGGAGGTGCCGGGAGCTCCCTTGGGGCTCCGGGATCCCTCCCAGGTTTGGGGGTGTCCCCGTGCCAGCGCTCCCCGAGCTGCTGCAATGCCCACCCGCATCCCACCGCATCCCGGTTGCCCCCTGCAGCGGGAAAGGGTGCCGTCCCTGGGGGGTACCCCAGATCCGCCGGGTCGGGGGGCCGCGGGCAGCCTCGCCGGCCGGCTTCCCCCCCCACTCGGAGCGTCCTGTTCCCGGCAGCGCCCCGTGGGCAGCGGGTGCGAAGGCACAGATGCCGCCGCGTCGGCTGCCAAGGCGCTGCCATCTGTGTGTGCCGGGCTGCCAGGCTGGGGCGGGGGGGGGCACTGCTCCCCCCAACCACCCCACCTTGGCCTCAGGGCACTGCAGGGCTGGGTGCCCCCCAAAATGACATCCTCAGGGCTCTCGGGGGGGGCTTGGGGAGGGGTCCGGGACCCCACGGAGAGGCAGGAAGCATGGGAGGCCCGGTCGCCCACCCGCCTGCCTTCCTCTGTGGGGTCGCGGGGCCACCGTCACCCCCTCGGGGCTATTGTGGCCGGCCAGTGCTGCCACCCCCCTAGACCCTGTGCCCCCCAGGCTGGGGGGCTCCCCCCCTCCCGTGGGGTCGTGCTGTGTTTGTGTAGGCCCTACAGAAACAAGGGGTGGTGTGGCTGGGCAGAGGCTGGCCGGACTCCCCCGTGGCACCCGGCGGAGGGACCACCCAGGGACGGTTCGGCATTGTCACCCCGTGCCTTGGCCGTGTGTCACGGGAGGGGGCTGTGACCCAGTAGGGGGGGGGGATCCCCAAATCCTGCCTTCGGTGCTGCCGCCAGCAACTGCGGTCCCACAGCCACCC